GCTTCCGTGTTCGCCTTTTCCGGCTACCCAGCCTTTTGCCCTGCCCTTTTTTGTCTACGTTTCTTCATGCTCTTCCGCACAGGGGCCGGCTTGTTTCTAGAAGGAACCGTCGTTCCCTCATGTTTTTTGTTGGATGCCCCCTGGTTCGTGACAGTGCGTCTCCCAGAGGCTTGCGCGTTCTCCCACATGGGGCTGGCCCTGGCCATGTTCACCCCCTGCACGGAGTTTTGCGAAGGGCTGGCGTGCTTCTAGGAAAAACCCTGGTATGCTCGCCCCCTGCATACACAATTTGCCGTGGGCTGGCTCGTTTCTAGGCACAACCTGGGTTTCCCCTCCCCTTCCCCTCTCCTCCTCCCGTGTTCGCCCATCCCCTCCTTCGCACAGGGCCGGCTTGTTTCTAGAAGGAACCGTCGTTCCCCCATGTTTTGTTGGATGTTCCCTGGATTCTGACGGTGCGGCTTCTTCCAAATGCTTGCGTTTCTCCCACATGGAGCTGGCCCTGGCCATGCTCGCCCCCTGCATGGACTTTTGCGAAGGGCTGGCGTGTTTCTGGGGGGAACCCTGGTTTGTTGGCCCCCTGCATACACGATTTGCCCAGGGTTGGTTCGTTTCCAAACACAACCTGGGCTTCCTCTCCCCCGTCTTTTTCCTCCTCCTTCAATGTTCGCCCGCCCCGGCTTCCCAGCCTTTTGCCCTGTCCGTTTTTGCTTACGTTTCTTCGTGTTCTTTCGCACAGGGCCGGCTTGTTCCTACGAGGAACCGTCGTTCCCTCATGTGTTGCTGGATGCCCCCTGGTTCGTGACGGCGCGGCTTTTCCTAGAAGCTTGCGCTTTCTCCCACATGGGGCTGGCCCTGGACATGCTCGCTCCTTGCATGGACTTTTGCGAAGGGCTGGCGTGCTTCTAGGAGGAACCCTGGTGTGCTCGTCTCCTGCATACACAAGTTACCGAGGGTTGGTTCGTTTCTCGGCACAACTTGAGTTCCCCCTCCCCACTCCTCCTCCTCCCCCTCCTCCTCTTCCTCCTCCTCCTCCTCCTTTTCCTCCTCCTCCTCCTCCTCCTTCCATGCTGGCCCACCCCGGCTACCCAGCTTTTTGCTTGTCTGTTTTTCTTTACGTTTCTCCATGTTCTTTCGCGCAGGGGTCGCTTGTTTCTAGGAGGAACCGTCGTTCCCTCATGTTTTGCTGGATGCCCCCTGGTTCGTGTCAGCGCGGCTTTCCCCAGACGCTTGCGCGTTCTCCCACATGGGGCTGGCCCTGGACATGCTCACCCCTTGCACGGAGTTTTGCGAAGGGCTGGCGTGTTTCTACGAGGAACCCTGGTATGTTCGCCCACTGCATACACAATTTGCCCAGGGCTGGCTCATTTCTAGGGCCGTCTTGGGCCATCTTGAAGCCATCCCGGGCCGTTTTGGGTGCATCTTGGGCCGTCTTGGAGGCACTTTTGGGCTATCGTAGCCGTCTTGGAGGCCATCTTGGCCGTCTTTGAGGTCTCTTGGGGCCCTCTTGGGACCGTCTTGGGGGCTTCTTGGGCCGTCATAGGGCCCTCCTGGAGGCCTCGTGGGCGATCTTGGGGCGATCTTGGGGACCTCTTGGGCCGTCTTGAGCCGTCGGAATGCCAAAAAGAAGCAACTGTCAAAAGATTTGATAGAGCGCGCGCGTGGGGCCCGATAGACTAAAAGGGGGGGCCCATCTTGAAGCTACCCCCCTCCCCCCTTCCTTGCTAAAGGGGGGGGGGCTTCGGAA